TTTGCTGTTTTACATGTCTGAAAATGGATAGTGCAAAAACTACAAGGTTTTCTTCTGTGCTGTTTGCAGGGCCCATCTGGAAGTGCTGGCTCTGCTGGTAAGGACGGTATGAGTGGTCTTCCTGGACCCACTGGACCTCCTGGACCTCGTGGACGTTCTGGAGAGATGGGACCTGCTGTAAGTCTCACTAACTATCAAACTATCCATCCATTCTTTTGTTTATACTTTGTGTCAGAAGAAACTGTAGTTTTCAGGAGCACCACAAAGCCTACACCAGTAATTCATTAACCAACCTATTCTCTTTATTCTTCGCCCTTCTTCTACTTCTCCACTCTCAGGGTCCTCCTGGACCTCCTGGTCCTGCTGGAGCACCTGGTGCCCCTGGTGGTGGATTTGACCTCGGCTTCATTGCCCAGCCTCAGGAGAAGGCACCTGATCCCTACCGCATGTTCCGTGCTGATGATGCCAATGTTCTGCGTGACCGTGATCTGGAGGTGGACAGCACCCTGAAGAGCCTCAGCCAGCAGATTGAGCAGATCCGCAGCCCCGATGGTACCCGCAAGAACCCTGCCAGAACCTGCCGTGACCTCAAGATGTGCCACCCTGACTGGAAGAGCGGTGAGTTTGTTTGGTAAAGTTGATAGGGTAGAGTGCCGGTGTCCCTACTGGACTCCTCAACTTTTCTCAAGGCATAAACACATTTAATAATATTCAAGTAGAGTGAGTGGATAATGATAAGCATGAGACAGATTCAGGAAATAAGATGAATAACATACTGGACTGACTTTTCTGACTATTCCTCTTTTAATTCCTTGTGTATCAGGCGAGTACTGGATCGACCCTGACCAGGGCTGCACTCAGGATGCCATCAAGGTCTACTGTAACATGGAGACCGGAGAGACCTGCGTATCTCCTTCTCAGCGCGAGGTTGCCAAGAAGAACTGGTACGTCAGCAAGAACATCAAGGAGAAGAAGCACGTCTGGTTCGGAGAGGCCATGAACGACGGCTTCCAGGTGAACACCATAAACCTTCTTAGCTCCTACCCTCTCCTGTCCTTCTCCATCCTCCTCTCACATGCTCTAACCCTCCCTTAGGTCAACTTCCATCCCAGTTCCTTCCCTCAGCTTCTTATACCTCCTCCATCCTCACAGTTCAAGTAATCAGCTCCTCCCTATTTGTCTTCCCCACACAGTTCGAGTACGGCAGCGAGGGCTCTGCGCCCGAGGACGTCAACATCCAGATGACCTTCCTGCGTCTCATGTCCACCGAGGCATCCCAGAACGTCACCTACCACTGCAAGAACAGCGTCGCCTACATGGATGCCTCTGTCGGCAACCTCAAGAAGGCCCTGCTCCTCCAAGGCTCCAACGAGATCGAGATCAGAGCCGAGGGCAACAGCCGCTTCACCTACAGCGTCCTGGAGGATGGATGCACGGTGAGTTGATGACAAAGAAGTCATCTTACATTCATACTGTTGTAGTTCATGTCCATTAAACAAGATTTGAACGCTGACTCTAACTGGCCTTTCTTCTTCTCTCCTCCCAGTCACACACCGGTACATGGGGCAAGACAGTCATCGACTACAAGACATCGAAAACATCTCGCCTGCCCATCATTGATATTGCTCCTATGGACGTTGGTGCTCCAGACCAAGAGTTTGGCCTTGAAGTTGGACCCGTCTGTTTCTTGTAAAAAGAGAAATCTGGACTTGAAATTGTTGTTGTGTGTGTGAGTGTGTTTTATTTTTTCTAGCAGTCATCTCTCTAAAAAAAATCCCACCAAAACGTCCTTCTAATGCCATTTTTCTGAAAACTCCAACCCTTCGCTCCTGATTCTACAAGTTTCCATTTGGCCGTTGTTCCCGATGGTCCACTTTGCCTAAAACCTGCACTTCAACAAGATGGCGGTGATGCGGCAGTGTCGGCATCATCGTGTTTGGGACCACTACCTTTTTTTTTGTTTCTGACTCTCGTTTTTTTTTTTTCGTTTGTTTTGTTTGGGTTTTTTTTTTTTACCATCACCAACACCAAGGATCCTGTAGAGAAGACATTTTGTTTCACTGGCAACAAGAAAATAATATATGCTTCTGTAAAGTGTAAAAAATTGACTTCCCCTCTTCATCCAGCCAAACCAGGCCTCTCTGGAGTTTACAGAAACCAACTGAAACACACAGGTGACTCTTGTATTTTTTTACACCACTGCGGTGAGAGGATTGAAAGGACAGCCCCAACAGACAGAACCCAATTGCTTTGTACCACGTTTCAGGTGATGATGAATAAACGGTGAAACTGACAGCCATGTTTGTCTCTGTTGTTCTGCCCACCCCCCACCTTCATCTGCCCGAGAGGAGACTGACTCCTCCTCCTCCTCCTCCTCATCCGCTGATGCTGCAGCTGTTGATCTGTGTTTGTTGTTTTGGATGCTTTCTTGTTTGTTCCTCTCTTTTCTCCATTTACATTAAAACCACCAGCAGAGAAACATGGGTTTAAACCTCTTTTTTTTTAAAGGAAACTAAATCCTATGGCTACCTCAGAAAGCGAGAAATTCCAGTTGTGAACAGAAAGTGTTTGTAGACGTGCCTGCTGTCGGTGGGGAAGTGGAGCTTTACTAACACTTTAGCAGAAGCAGAAACAGCTAAAACTTGGTGCTATTCTTTCTTTGAGGTTTCCTGCCCGTCCAGCCTGGTTACACTTTTCTGTAGATTAAATGTCACTCTGGTGTGGCAGGGCCTTGTTGGTGCTAAAATGAAACCACAGCTTTTATTCCTGGTGTCCAGAACGATTTAAACTTCTATTTCCAGACTTTTTCGTGCTGGCAGTGAAACTCTAGCTTTTGGTTTTTCTGTTCTGAACCTGCTGTGCACCTTTCCTCTCTTTGTTTTTAACCCCCCCCCCTCACCACCACCTCTTCATTTTGTTTCTTGTTTTCTTGTGCGAAGGATGAATTTTCCCCAAAAAATTGGAATCAAACAGATTTTTTCAAATGCACAGCCATCAGCATAAAGTTTGTGAGAGAGACAGACAGACACACCTCTGGGGGCAAAACACCACAAGGATCTGTACCTATTTTGTATATGTATAATAAATTGAGATGTTTTTAATTATTTTGAATGCTGAAATAAAGCATGTTAAGTGGTCTAACATTGAATCCTGACTAATTCCCTGACTGACTCGCTGACTGGCCCCTCCAGGACCTTACACCTTCTACGAGCTGTGAGGAGACTGAGTGAAAAACAGAGGAAACAAATCTCAGAAGTGATTTTGTCTCTGTTCAGTTCTCACCTCTTTAACTGAGTGTGTGGAAACAGGAAAACATGACAGAAGCAGAGTCTGTTGCACCGCAGCAGATTCCTCACGTCTTGGCTTGCAGCATAAAATTCAAAATACACGGATAAACATCTTGAGGAAACGTTTCTTCACACAGCTGAACCTCGTTGTTTCTGAGTGATCAGAACATTTTCAACATCAGCAGCTAAGACTCAGAACAGAGGAATAACTGAGGCCTACCTCTCCGTCTGGTGGAGACTCCTCGCTGTTGTCAGGTAACCCCACAGAGCTGCTGAGGTTTCATCCAAAACATTAAATCCTGTTTGAAAAGTCCTTAATCCACTGTGCACGTGCACCGGTGACAATCCAGCTCCGATCCTGGTGAGATTTGCGGATCCTTTAGATTCGTCTCTCCCCAGTTATCCATCTGAAAGAGCGTCTGCACAGCTCAGGCAGCCGAGGGGCTGCAGGCTGGACCTGCTCTGTTGGCATCAGCCTGGCTTCACAAAGACACTGATTGTCCACCTTGAGGGAGCCAGCGATCCAGGAGCAGAGGATAGGTTTGCACCCCCACAGGGAATCTGGACTATTTCTGCAAGAATCAGGGTCTGTATTTGAGGCCTGGCAGAGGAATGCTGACCTCTCCAGTTTCAGACAGAGGAAGCTCTGTTTGCAGAGAGGAAACACCTCTGTGGGCCGAGGGTAAACATCACAGAGATGCTGATGAGGCCGGTAGAAGCAGATAGAAGCAGAAAGAAACATGAAGAACGACTCGTCTTTATTTTAAGCATTTCAGAGTCAATTCATGCAAACGATGAAAAAGAAAACATCTCAAAGTTTGCTGTCTGGATTATTCAAAGTAACTTAGAGCAAATTACGTGTTTTAGACAAATGACAATTAATATCCCTCCACTGAACAGCACATTGTTACAAGATGAACTTTATGAAAGTTCAGAGAAAAGGCAGAGGGAGGAATTTGATCCTGGCAAAACTGTATTTCTCTTAATGTCTACCAGTGACTCAGACAACAGATTAAAGCACCTCATGATGCACAGTGTTTAAATCATCAAGTTTATCTCTCTGTCCTTTATGTGCTTGTTCTGAATTAATGAGGAGTGTTTTCATTGCCATGTTTGACAGAACCTTCATGCAATAGAAATGATGTGTGGCAAGAGAGTTCCTGGTTAAACAAAGTGAATGAAAAGAAACATTGAGATCAATTATCCCAGAACATTTCAACCCTAACCCTAATCACAACCCTAACCCTAATCACAATTTACCAACAAAGTGAATGAAAAGAAAATATGAGATAAATTCATTTCAACATCACCACAGTTTCCTTCAGTCTGTCAGTGACAGAAACAGAAAGATACGACGTCTCTGTCGTCAGACAGAACATTCTTGTGGGTTTTATTTCAATTATTTTAATTTTAAAACCGTCTTTTTTATACTTTTCTCCGGCTCGTTTAACACAGGACGTCAGTGAGTCTTTGCTTGTTTGGGTTTTNACAGTGCACTTTATCTGATTGGTTTTGATGTGTGGAAGAGAATGATTTGCATTTTTTTTAATCTAAGGTGAAATATGAACAAGGATGCGTTGTCAAATTCAGATCTGAAGTATTTTATTTAAATAAATGTTCAAGAAATAACTGAAACACCATGTTAGCCTCATCTATAATTTACATTCATGCAGGCTGCCTGTGTGACCAGTAATACCTACAAACTGCTCCTGATCAAGTCATGTCCATTTTATAATAGTGGAACACTCTGGCCCACGCTATCTGTTGCAAATCAGCTTTAATCTCCCCATGGGGATTAATGAAGTTCTTCTGATTCTGATTCAAAAAGAGACAGTTTACAGAAGAAACTACTGACTCGCCAAGTGAGAGAATAGGTGTCAGTAGTTCACTCACAATGCATCGTTGTCTCTCACTCGTCTGTGGACCAGTATTGGTTTAGTAATTTCATAATCCTTCCTCCCTGAGATCAAGGACAATGAGAAAACACTACTGATGGATTTTTGAGTAAACTAAATAGAGTAGTCTTACGTGTCACTGTTTCTAAAACAGAGCATTGAGAGTATACCCACGTCTCCAGGGACCGGGGGACCCTGACCCCCAACCCTAAAACTTACCGACAAAGTGAATGAAAAGAAAATATGAGATCAATTCTCCCAGAACATTTCAACATCACCACAGTTTCCTTCAGTCTGTCAGCGACAGACACAGAAAGATACGACGTCTCTGTCGTCAGACAGAACATTCTTGTGGGTTTCATTTCAATTATTTTAATTTTAAAACCGTCTTTTTTATACTTTTCTCCGGCTCGTTTAACACAGGACGTCAGTGAGTCTTTGCTTGTTTGGGTTTTGTCTTTTTTCCACAAGGTTTTTAAAATAAATGAGAATCTACATTAAGAGCTGATTCTTCAATGAAGACTTTTTTAGTCACATGTTTCTTTATTGTCTAGAAACACAACACCTTCACATTTTAATATAAAACAGAAACTTTAMCACTTTAAAGTGTTTTACATAGAATAAATACAAAATATGTTATTTTGCTTAAATTTTCCTGTAACATCCTCTTTTATAGGGACGTTAATAATAAACTCAGGATAAAGGGACATTAACGTTGATGCTGAGGGGAGCTGCAGCATCTCCTACTGGCAAAGAGCTGCAACTGCAACACTGACAAATACATTTAAAAAATCATTGTAGGACAATCTAACATTTTGTTTATTTTTTAATGAATAATTATAACGTAGATAACACTAAACACTGCTCTAAAGCCTGTTTGTTGTGTAAAATGTTTTAAAACTGTTGTCGGCCTTTAAAATCAATGACATGACAAAATACAGATTCTCTGTCAGCTCTGACTCACAGCCTGGATTTAATTTCTCAGTTTTAATGAGTTGTATGAATCAACATGTTGGGATTATTTATTATATTTAGCTTTGGACACAGGTCAGCCAAGGTAAGATAAGATAAGATCAAATAAGATAAGATAAGATAAGATAAGATGAAATAAGATAAGATAAGATAAGATGAGATGAGACTGAATATACCAAAGAGACATGAGTGGTGTCAATCAACTGGACATCAAGTTTCCCAACACGTCATTTTATTTGAAGTGTTTAAGAGTTTAGATGTTTAATGCTCGGGGTCGAC